TTAGTTATTGTTGTTTATTTAGTTGTATTTAGTTTCAATAACTTTTCTTTATAATGCAATAAAATCTGGCGAGCAGCTATTTAAACGATCGAACACTTCGTTTGTTTATTTGTGGCTTGAAGTTAGGCTCGCAGAAAATGCCGTTCATGGGTTAAATTTAGTAGGAACAACACAACCTGTGACGTAGGCTATATTATACCCAATTGTGTGGAGCTGATGGATAGGTAAAATACCAATTTTTTTATTATCTATGTTGCCGTGAATGACCGAAATCAAGAGAATGTCGACTTTCACCGGTGAATGTCAACAGCCACATTGGTGAATGTCCGAAATATTTGTTATATCCCATTTGATATTAATTCATTCGATATTTTAATATCCGCTGAGGATAGATTAGGAGAAACATCAGTGTTCGGAATACCGGTTAAATGCATAATGGGCAGTGGCACTTGACCTTAAAAAACATCGATGTAGGGCATACCGGGAAAATGTATACCAATGTAAACACTTTAATAAACCTAGCACATATTTCGAACATTTACCAAAGCGACTATGTGACATTCACCGATGAAAGTCGACATTCCTTTGATTTCGGTCATTCACAGAAACATATCTATCACTGAACAAAACTGCAAAGTGGGGGGGGGGTTGAAATGTCTGACTCCGAGCTATTTTGAGACTTCGACTGATTCTCTATTAAAAATTTCACTGAATCTACGAGAAATATATTTTTTTATAACCGTCGATAGTGTGACGCTTATCGTCACTTAATTTAGAATCACAATAAAACATTTAAAATAGATTTATTGTAAATTGCAAAATAATTGATTAGATTTAAAATACTGTGGAAACTTCCACTAGTACATAGAACCTTTTAGCAAATGCAAATAAATACTCTTGATTAAAGTTAAGAAAAACGTGTCGAAAAGGGTTAATCACAAGTCTATAGTTCAAGTTTGATCTCTTATGTGACCTTTCCAGAATTTAGTAATAGTTTTATCGAGCAAAAAGTTTAGTATAAAAGATCAAAAAAAAAGACAACAAACGAGAGAGTAGAACCGAGTCATTAGAGGTTCACCAATTTCCACTATGAACATTAGTATGGGTAAGTTCTCTCCATGCCAATTAGTTTATTTGTTACTAATCAAAGCCTTTTAATTAATTTAATTTGTTATTTAAATTTGTATTTGATTAAAGCATTACTTGTTTAAGTATTTTAAATAGTTAAAGTATGTAAATTAATTCGACAATAAAACGATCACTGGTTAAAGTGATAAGTAGTAGTTTGTGTCTTTAAACCACCGTAACATTAGACAGCCGACCCAATTTTTGAGTTTACGACTACTAATGTTTAACGCCTTAGCCTTGTCATTTTGAACCCAATCCTGAAGACAAGGGAACTCCTGGATCAAGTATTAGGAGAAATTTGACTTCATGGAGGAGTTTTTGTTGTAACTAACCCGCATTTGCGGTACATGGAGAGGAAAATCACGAAAACCTCCCACGGGTAGCCTGACGGCACGGGGACTCTAACCCGAGATCCGTCTACCACTGAAAATATTTTACGTCAGCACTGTGGTCGGTGCAAGCTGGATGCGAAATTGGTATCTTCCAGCCACCACTGGGATTCGAACCCGGGCACCTCGTTCGAAGGTGAAAGCTCAATCCCCTGAGCCATCGCGCCTCGTTCACTATTGATTATGAACTTTATTTTTAGAAGTAGAGAATCGGGATTCCAATTTATATATGATTTAAGATTCTACAGCCGAATAGAATTTGGTTACAGCAGCTGCGTTAAAATTTATCTTTAAGTGAAAGCAAGATATTTTGACCTCTTATCTGGAATTTGCTTTAAAACATCACCAACATGCGAAAGTATATCTTATGATGAAGATAAGATGTTTACGAAGATAATGAAGAATTACAATTGTCTATGATAAAGCTATATGAAATACAACCCAAATTGCACCATTATTCAATGCATGACGTCCTCGTATCTTTTAAGGCAACGCTTTAATGAAATGAAGCATCACTTCATTTGATGACAAATGATTACTTTGACCGGGTTAGGTAACTTTAGCTATGTCTAAAAAAATGTTTGGGCGCAAGTTGTATTCACCATTAAAATCTATTTATTCTAAATTGTTTTCTGCAAATCACATAACATTAATGATATAAATACCCATACTTGGATTTGAAGACGAAGTTCGATTGATGACTGAGTGCATATTTATAGCTAAAGTGGTAGGTAAAAGAAAGAAATATCCACTTTATGTGCAAACATCTACCTAAAGTTTCTCCCTTAGACTTTTCTTATTATTTATTTATTTATATTTTTTTATGGCTGGGCATTATTGAATTAACTTCTTAGAAACATTTGAGGGTATTTTTTTCAGGATATTTCTGAAGAAATAAAAGAAGCTGTTTTTCGAAGAATGTGAAATAATACTTTTTCGCGAATAATAGACTATTTTTAAAACTGCTACTCATGACTGTTAAGTTAAGTTTAGCATATCTAAAGCCAACTACGCTTATTTTGAAAATGGCGCAAAACCTTAATAACCCACAGTTTTGAGAAAATAAAAAGCATTTATGGTGCAATTTTTTAATATTTAAAGACCAATGCTGCATTACCTGGACTCGTAAAAATGAGCAAAATCTGAAAATACGGCAGTGGTTTTGATAATTTTCATTTGGGTGAAAAAATGTAAATAAATTTCTAAAAAAGTTTGATAGCTTTTAAAATATTCAAGTTATTTGTCTGTTCTATTCTAAAGCCCAGATATTTCTTCATGGCAAGATTATATATGTAGTTTAAAATCATCACCATGTTCCAAGCATAAGGCACCAAGTATAATGCAGAGTTTCGAAAAACAGCGTTAAGTAATTTTATAAAATATAGTTCAATACTTATAAAATATGTTTTTTTTTTAGTTTAAGAGGTTGCCAATATAAGAAAATTACCAATTGATTTTAATATTTTGGTATTTTACTGCTTTTTTTTTTTGTATAATAGCACTTTTCGCCGTAGCTAAATTACAGTAAATTACGTAGCTAATTCTTAGGCATGCTAAATTTTATACAGGCTTAACCTGTTTTGCCTCGAATTTATATATTGAAATGATACAAAAGATGGTTTTATGGAAAAAGTGGTATAATATATTACCGAAATTAATTGGTTTTTCTACTGTTAGGGCAACCAAAAAGTCATTGATAGATCAAAAAATACTTGCTCCTTATAATTCTAGATCTAATCAGAAATAACTAAATCATTGTGGTATCTGAGAATCTTTCAATTCACCCAGATAAATGAAAATGCTGAAAAAAGTTTCCCACCACAATGAATGTCTTTGAAAAAAGGAACTGTCCTAAATATATGAAGCTGGGCGTTAGCCGGTTAATTGGATACAGCCTAAGATGTATAAGGAAAAAAAGCTAGATTTTCGTTAGCTACTGATTTAAAGAAACTTCCTTATAATTCTTCTAATAAATAATTCTTCTAACATGCCAATTACCACTTATTATTTAAAAAAAAGTCTTGACAGGTTTTATTGAAACTGATTTTCTGAAATCTGACATTATACATATCATTCTAGCTTGGGAACAAATTTTTTGTTGCATTTATGTAAGTACTTGATCTTACCTAATTGTGTAGTGAGGATTTCAAATCTAAAATTAGTTTTGTTCTGAAACCTGCAGAGTTATCTCAAAATGGTGTATTTTAGTTTTTTTTCTGAATGTACAAGTATATAAATAAACGTATAAATTTATATTTATATGCATGCACTTGTCAGTTCTTTTGAAAATAACACTGAAGGAAAAAGAACATATGAACTTAAAACATCATATAAACTAAAATGTATTATCTCCTTCTTCCTACCACTTTCTACGTAGCAGAGAAGTTGGGACACTGTTAATATTCACTCGAGTGAGCTTGAAAAAATCCTGTTTAAGAATATATTATTAAATTGCATTAAATAATAGATTATAGATAGAAATCGAAAGCAAATTTAAAAGAAAAAACCTGCCCCCCTGTATTGTTAGTTATGTGTATCACTTTACCAAAGAATGTAGAAAGGAGAAAAAATCCAGCTCTTAGAATACGCAACTAACAATAGGAACTGTTCGGTTCGGTATGCTATCCCAGAAAAACAACTTATAGGGTGAGCAGCATACTCAGATTTAACAGAGCATCATATGTACTAAGAACCAGAGCACAAGAAGCAAAGTGACTGTCAGGAGGTATAGTGTGTCTAAGCTATGAACTCCTCCCGCTACAATGTCTGAGGCCGTTTGATGCTATGGAAACAAGAATGGCCCATTTTAGGAAGGGTAGCTTTACTCTAGGACTAACACAATAGACCGAAGAAAGAGATTGCCTTCTTCTCGCCAACCCGAGTCGAAACATCCCGCACCCCTACTTTAAATAATCATGCCTCGTTACCATAGTCACCGCCACAGATCCAAACGAATGTCTGGGGGAGTTCTTATTTTAGACAAACTGTACGTCACCTGTGAACCGGTTGTTTGATAACTCTAATTGTATGATTGGGAGGCTATAACTCGCACCACCATTTTAGTCTTTCCTTCTTTGTCAAAATGTATTTAGCAGATTTAATCAACATGAAATTAATGTATTCTCAAAGGAATATCTTTATTAACAGTACCGTTTATCAAAAGTGTAAAATGCAGAACAAAACTATTAAATAAAAAAGAGAAAACTTTTCCTCTTCTCCCCAGTACTGGTTGGGGGGAGAGGAGGGTAGAAACCAATTTCAAGAACTTCTGCTCCGTGCCCTAAATGTTGTTTTTTCTGTATACACAGGGATCACACTAAACCTTGGAGGACTGGTTTACATTATGGCTATGGAAGCTAGCATTCTTCCCCTATCTATATTCTTTAGCTAAAGTATCTGTCTTCCCAATAAAAACAAAACAAATATTACCACTATTAATTTTCGAATTCTTCTGTAATTGTTTCTTACCTCAGAATCCAATCCAAAGAAGAGAAAAGCGAGAAAGAATAAAACACCCCAACAGGATGGGAGAGGCATTGTACCTATCACAATAGAATAAATCACATACACGTTGCCCGGATCTAGAAAAAAAAAAGAGAACAACTCATTTCAACTAATTTTTAAACATTTATGTGTCCTGCAGTGGACTGATCTTAAAGACATGGCTCCCAGTAGAACAACGAAGTCAGCATCACTGGCTGCGGTCAGTGTGCGGGTGGGTAATGACTTTGATCAGCCTACGTAGGGACCGAGGGTCCGGTCCTTTCTACCGTAAAGTGCTCGACTTCGAGAGCAGGTCTTCGGGCAACCAAAGCAGGGAAGCCATCCTCTCTGCAGAGAATCAAAATTGCGGTGGCATGTCTTCGGATCGTAATCAGGGATGTTTCCCAGACCGTCGTCAATAACCCATTGTGCAGGCTCTTGTATGACGTAAATAAAATACCTACATTAAACATTGATATGTAAAAATGCAGTATACCCAAAAAGACATGGCTTAATAACTTTTGATCTAAGGCTTTTCACATACTTGGACTGAAGTTCGAATACCTAACGTTAAATATGCTAATTGAATAATGAGGTAGGAAGGTACTTTATTTACGTTGCACTTCAGTTGCACAATGGGCTATTGGCAACTGTCAGAGAAACATTCCTGATTATGATCCGAAGACATGCCACCGCAATTTTGATCCTCCGCAGAGGGGATGGCTTTCCTGTTTTGGTTGCCCGAAGACCTGCCCTCGAAGTCGAGCACTTTACGGTAGAACAGTTTAACGAGGACCGCAGCCAGTGAGGCTTGACTTCGATGTTCTACTGGGAACCATTTCTTTCGGTCAGTCCATCACGAGACAATTAATTAGTGGAGGCAACATTTTAAAAAACGAAATCAGACACAAAAGCATTAAAAATTGAGAAACAGAATATGAAATAACAAAAGAGTTGAAATTAAGGGACCGAAACTTTCCGCCCCTCTTCAACGTAAACTTTTTAGACAATATTTTCCAGTGTTCCATATTTCGGAGAAGAAGAATTCAAATTCGTCGAAAAAAGTTTTTTCAAAAGAAAGTATGTTTTTGTACATTATTTCTATTCTATATATTTTCTATCTAGTTTTCTTTTTCGAAACTTAAAATACTTCCTGCACCAACAATTTAGCATATTTAGGGTAAAGTATTCAAACCGTTAGGATTGAGACTCAATACGTAAGAATCTGATTTTTGTTTTAAAAATATTTATTCATTTTTTTTGCACCCTGTATAATAGGTTAATACTTGCAACCGACAAAACAACCGGCGTGTATACTCAGAAAAATACATTTTGAATCTATCAGAACTGAACGTCCTCTCGTCCATTATGAGAAGTTTGATGAGAGGAACATCAGTTCAAGCGCTGTCCGCGTCATCTTACTAGGATAAAAATTAAGTGGCGTTCCTACTATGGTCCTAAATAGATAGAGCCCTAAAAACGGGGCTAGAGGCTTGGCTATGGTTGAGAGGTTGGGTGGATGCGTACAGCTGTAACTATAGCACTAGTACGAGTGAATTCTGAAATATGATATCTTCAAACCAATTTGACTTTTCTTTTTATAATTTTATTCTACTGCAATTAAATTTGGTAGAAATCATCACTATTTTTAAAATTATTTTTTCAGCTTTCAAAGTTTTTCTGAGGAAAAAAAAACGAAATTACATTCCAAATCTAAATGTTTCGAAACAGATCCGGACCAAATTATTTCCGATAATCGAACTTCTTCGGCATTCATATTTAAAGTGAATAAGTAGTTAGCTAAAACACTTTTCTTTTTAAGAATTTTTTATGAATTTATTAACGATTAATAATCTGTCTAAAAACTTACAGCTCTAAAATAGGGTACTTGCATTCCAAGAAAAAGGAGACTACCAATACCCACACATGTGACCGTTGACGTCAGCACCAACTAAACTTTATTAGCAATATGGAGTATTAAAGTTGAGTTAAGTTTCTCTACATAACTTGAAATGTTAATGGGAGTGAAGTTCATTAAATACTCATCGAATGAGTTGAAATATAATTCTCCCACGTCTTCTTCTTTTACTTAATTCAGATTTATTATTTGTTCATGTATTCTACTGTAAACATTATATATTTTTTTGTGTGTAACTGGCAACTTCAATGCATTGTAAGTTTGTTTATGTTGTACATGGCTTCGTGTCTGTCTTTGTGTAAATATATAGTGGTAGAATCGAAATCTCTGTGAAAGAATATAGACTATGTTACTTAAGAGATTTGGTACTTGACAGGCTTAGCTTACTCGAAATGGAATGGAAAGAACAGCTGCTAACGTAAACAAATGACGCTTTTCAACAACCCATCAGGATCGAGATACCCACACTACGTCACTTGCAAGTATCCCTTTCTTGATTTTGCTTCAAGTGACCCTAGCCGCAAGTCCCAGGTATACACGATCATGACACCACACTTGAATCGATGGAGAAAAGAGGCTTGTGAGCTAGCGAAAGCTCAGATCTAGATCCACAGGGCTCGCCAGCCAGCAACCCGGCGATGCAGCATTGCGAGACGACACACCCAGACCCATTGGACCAACGTCGAACTGGAAGACTAACGAACCATCTTTATTTATATATTTAGAAATTTTTGTTACAAAATTTCAAAATTCAATCATCTACTAAATCATAAAAATTTGATTATGACGTAAGATTAACTTATATGAAGTTATATTACCATCACTTAAGACTGTCCAAAAAGGTTTGTTCAATTTCGTAGATAGATGTCCAATCGTAGCGAAAGTGACACAGCCGACCAACAGTACTGTTGAAAGAGTTACAGCCGCTACTACTACAGTATCCCTATAACAAAACAGATAAAAATGTAACAGCTGATTTAATCTACATAAAATGCAAGGAACATTATACATACTACGCATTTAGTGTTAACAAGATCCAAAAAAAAGAGCGAACTAAATTTTGAAGAATACCAACTGCTTCGCTTTTCATTAAAAGATTTTACAAAGAATTTCGTTCACTTTCGCCAATGAAGGGAGGTTACTACCCTGGGGAGCTCTGCAAGCTTTTGACAGCCAGTTACTGTTTTTGGTGTGTTTTGAAGATATTTGGCTCACGACGTGATCATTGTGTTTATAGACTCTCTTAAGTAGCATTTATTGTATGTATTTGTAACCTGATTTATTATTTGTGCTTAAAAGAAGAATCGTTGCTTCAAGAGGTAAGAATTGTCATTTGAAAAAAAGAATCGTCATAAAACACTTCTTTCCTTGTTAACAATATACGACCAACTTCGTAATTCAAACGATAATTTGTAATATGAACTTAATCTCGCTGCTCGAACAACAACATGCTAACACAAACATATGATGATGCACGACTTGCACCAAAAACAAGCAGTAATAAACAAGTAAAAAGAGGTCGAATCAGAACTGCCAAAAGAAGCAAGTTCTTTCTACATCTAGCTACAATGTCACCATTTTTAGCACTACATCACTAAATAACTAAAACAAATTTTCACTTCAAACTCATCAGAATTACTTAATATATCACTAATATCGTATAAAATACAGCAGATTTGAGTTCAGAAATCATATAATTTACTTCTTTTACTAAAAATAAAATTAATCTGTTTGAAAATATCGCCACTCAGAATAATCCGAGATTGTTGTTGTTTATATTTATATTGAAAAAAAAAACTAATTGTAACTTTAAAAGCTTCTCTCAGAGCAGAGAAACTTGGTATAGCTGCGTTTTCACAAATTTACAGAAAAAATGCTTAAAATTAAGTTTTCTATGGACCGTTTGACACAGATGGAAAATCGGTGTTCCTTTTATAAACTTTTTTTCTGGCGTTCTAATTGCAAGCACAAATACATTTTAGTGTCTTTTAATTATAAAAAACAGTTAAATAGTGACTAAAAAATTGTTAGAATATCGGGATATCGGGGATTTTATATTTTGATACAAATTGTTACAATATTTGTACTGAAATATAAAATCCGAAAAAAGAAGTTGGAAAAAAAATCCAAATTTTTTGAGTTTATGACTACTAATAACAAGCTTAAGCCCGTCCCGCCCCCGTAAGGGGGCATCCGGGGGCACTCCGAAAGTTCGAAGTGAGCGTAACAGTTCAATTACATAAGCAAACATATTCAAATTTTTCAAATTAGACTTTTAACAAATAGGTAGAATATTAAATATGAAATCCAGAAAACAGTGCTACTTAGAAATAAACTAAATGCAAACAAACATTACAAAGAAAATAAACAGTAACAATCAGAAGAGATATTGATGTCGCATCTTCAGTAGGGGTGCAAAGTTAATAAAAGGAAACAATTTCACATGGAAAATATAGGATGTTTGTAACTCAGAATATAATTA